CTATCTATCTATCTATCTGTACGTATATATAAACAAATATAAAAAAAACATCATTTAAAAATAACTACAGAATAGAAATATTTTCAAATTAGAATACTTATAAATATATTTCTTTATATTTTATCTATATAAAATTGTGAATAAGACACCCTTATATGCACACAGGCTATTAATACAATATCTTGTCCAGCATTCTCAGTTTGCTTCGACACATCATCCAGACTTCCATCTGATGCTTTTAAAATGGTGACTCAAGCAAAGTGTCACCCTGCTCTGAACCACGGCCTTTGAGTCCTTCTCTCTCGCTCTCTCGTTCATGCTCTGTTGCCCATCTTTGCTCCACATTAGCAATTACTGGCAGTGTGCTCTCTTTCTCTCACACACACACACACACAAGTTATTTACCATTCCACACATTGTGTAGCCTCACTGTGTGTGTGAGAGAGAACTTTGTGATAAATTTGTAATTTTCTTATCTAAAGAACAGCAGAAGCTCCTATCCCCTTCCTTATACACACACACACACACACACACACACACACTTTTTCTTGTACACCCGCTGCCACATTTTACATATTTAGAAAATAATAATAATAAATAGTAATTAAAATTACAACAACCATTGATAATAATAATAATAGTAAACACAATATATTTAATAAAACAAAGTAAAAATTAAGTAAAATAATAATATTAATTAGTAAAATGATAAAGCATAAATATAATTCATATTTTGTATTAATATAATATTTCTATGATCACTGAATGGCTATATAGAATAAATAAATCAAACAAACAAATTGTTCATAATAAAATGGACAGAACTTCAAAGCTTTGACTTTGTTTTGTATCAAAAGTAAGAAGGCGCAAAGCTTATTGTGATTTTTTGATGCTAGGTGCACTACAAATAATGTTTAGTGAGTGAAAGATCAAATTAAACAGCATAGACTAAAAGAGCAATAAGAATCAATATTCGTTCATCAAAATAAAAATCAGAGAAATCAGTATTTTCAACTTTCAACGGAAATTGTATTAGATATCAATCAGGAACTCATTGGCCATAAAAAAGGTGTTACTTTACAAAACGGTTGCACATGCTCCATCAGTCTGAACATGATGCTTTTGCACTTCCCTTTGACCGTAAACAAACACACACACACACACAGCCAGCAAGAGAAAGAGAGAGAGTGTCTTGAAGAGATTGATAGGGTGTGACTGTCATCCAGACACTGATAGTATGTACTAGACCCATAAAACCCGCCTGAGTGACAGCTGAATACAACTCACCCGCGCCTCAACCCCTGCTTTTCTGTCTCACTGTCTCCATCTCTCTTTCTCTCCTCAAGCATACTCATTTTCTGTGCATCAGATCCTTGCCCTCTGCCAACACAATATCAAATTCTACAAACATAAATGCAATAAAGAACAATATTAACCAAAACACATAGCGTCAGCAGTTCGTTCTGCATTTGGTGATGATGTTTACAGCATGTCTGCTGTGGTTAGTTGATGCAAATCCAATATAGAGGATCTGTTTCGGTTTATGGCTGTGCTGCCCTCACTATTGAATAAAGTGAGTCTTATAACAATTACAGCACAGAGTAACTTTCAAAATTCATTTATGCCGCACTTGATCGGAGATTTATTGATCTCTTGTGCGATTGTCTCTGGTTTATATGGATGGATTCAAACCTCTCTTCTTCTCCAGCTGGTTTATGTTCTGTTCTTCTCCTGAGTTTATTGTAGTGGCTCATGGGAACAGTGTTTGCTGGTAATTGGTTTTGTAACCACTGGTCTATGAGCTTGGTCTCAACGGGGCGATTGCGGTTTGTGCTTTGAACGAGAGAGATTAAGAGAGAGTAGCCTTATAGAAAAGTATTGTGGTAGTATACCATGGTATAAAATCAAATACCCACAATTATTTTTTAAAACCTATGAAATATAAATCTATCTATCTGTTTGGTGCATCATGGGGATAAAGTACAGCAGTTATGAAAAAAAGTGTCTGAAATGGAATTGCTTATAAAAGTTAGGAAGAACAAGCCATCACACGAAATGACTGCTGACAATCCGGTTTCCTAAAGCTGAGAAAAAGACGTTATTTAGAAATAAATAACAATAAAACCTACAGTACAGGAGGCTGGAAAGCAGCTTTAAGTCTCCAAATGGCTAGTGCTTGAAAACAACAAACACTCCCACGCTCTTTTAGCACAAACATTATCAAATGTCCTGTTTTCACAGAGTGCCGGAGAGATTTACACACGTGCTTGCTTCTCTAAATGGACGTTTACCGTTCCTCTGACCCCCGGAGGGCTGGCAGACAGGAGACAATGACTGAAATTAATCATTATGTCTTCCAGAGTTTAGGGAAACAACCAAATTAGACTCAGAGATAATCTAAAAGCATTAAAGTTTTCTCAGGTTTATGGGAAATGAGGATCTACTGTTTACATACTGAAGTCCAATACACTTCATAATTTAATAATAAGGTACATTTTCAACTCATTAAGCATATAGAAAATACAAAAGTTCCTTTTAGTGTCACAGTGGATCCTGTACTCAATGTTCTCTATAATCCTATAAAACACAGTTCAGAAAAGCTCAGTAATAGGAGAAAGACAAACATTTCTATGAATAATGACCTAAATTTTAGTATTAAATATTGTATAGCTTCAGAAGCTTTGGAACATAATGCACAACTCATGTTGGACTATTTTTATGACACTTTCTTGTTCTTTTTCAAGCTTCAGAGCCACTGGTCGATGATTTATCTACAGAATTACCATTTTTAATCTAGAAACAGATCACTCAAGCTAAAGGAACAGTGTGTCCTTCATCCAGTTTTGTGTCCAGTCGGGGACAGGCTTGGAATACACTTTTAAATCAGCCATATCGATGAGGGAATCACCAGACACACAGTCCAGATGCCAGTCTGGGAGTTTAATAACCCTTCAGAGCCGCAGGGCCGGTGGTCACGGGTTTTATATGCCCATGGTTTTTACCTTTCTATCCCTTTCTTCCTAACAGAAGTAGTAGACATTTATATTTATTCATTTTTATTTAATTTTATATATATTATTATTTTATTTCTTTAGCTTTGGACTAAAATAAAAACGCACAAATTACATAACATAATAAAATAAAGTAGGATCCAAAACTGAATAAAAAGACTAAAAATTACTCAAGTCAAATATTTAATATTAAAATATAATATTGTAAAAGGTAACAATAATATTAAATAATATACAATATATATATATATATATATAAAAAAATAAAGCAAATAATAATAAAGTGTGCATATATTCAAGACTTAAGCCTCATTCAGATCAGAAAAACTTGGAGAGAAAAAAAAAAAAACATTTTCAACAGCCGTGATTTATAGATTAAAAAAATCTATAACTGCAGTAACAACCCCCCAGTGTACCACACATTTTTAAAAACCACTTTCACAACCCGGTTAATTCATTAGTTTATCTCTCTGTGCAGGAAACGAGAGACTCTACATACTGTGATACACATTGATTAGTCTGTCATATGTCCTTAGCAATTATTTCTAATCGACACTGACTCCAAATACACATGAATGGACAGACTGCAAGATAAGATGGCGCCCAGGCAGCTGGAGTCTTTACCGGTGTTCCCAGCAGCCATTCGTGAGTTTTGTGGACACCATGAGGACGCGTTTCTTCACACTAGCAGTGGAAACAAGGACATTGTGCTTTTGCGTTGCACACAAGCTTTTGAAAAGTTGACAAATGGCAACCTACAGACTATATAATGTGCAATAACTACACCCTCCATGCATCTGAAAGGTCAGCCTCTACTCCCACCCCACCTGTCCTGCCGTATGTGCCCAGACCAATAGCACTGAATGCAGTTTGTAAATGCCAAACACTCACTGGGTGTTTTCTTCTCCAAACCACTGAACCCATCGAGAAACACAAGGCGCCTGCCTCCGGGTGAATAAAGAGCCCAGTTCAGCGCTTGACCTGTTACGCTGAAAATAACCACAGTCGCCGTCACGACCACGGTGACATTTTTCAGCTCAATCGCTCAGTGGGGAAATTTCGGCCTGTATTTTTTTTTTCTTGTTGATGAAACATTAGCTAATCCTAAATGTATCAGCTATCCATTTTTTTAATATACAGACATAATCGAAGATTTTGAAGTTTTACAATATTTAGCTTTCAAATTCTAAGATAAATATAAATAAACAGGTTTTTTTCATAACCTCAATCTTATGACCTTTAATTTTCTCTTTTTGAATTTGTTGAATGTATTATATACTGCCATTCAAAAGTTTGGGATCAGTAAGATTTTTTTTTACATTTTTTTAAGAAGTCTCTTATGCTCACCCAAGGCTACATACATTTGAAAACAATATATTAAAACTGTAATATTGTAAGATATTATTACAATTTAAAATAACTGTTTTCTATTTTAATATACTTTCAAATATAATTTATTCCTGTTATGCAAAGCTGAATTTTCATCAGCCATTACTCCAGACATTTCTCCGGTCTTCAGTGTTACATGATCCTTCAGAAATATTTCTAATATGCTGATTTATTATCAATGTTGGAAACAGTTTTGCTGCTTATATATATTAGTAACCTATCATTTAATGAATATACAGTTTAGAAGAACAGCATATATTTGAAATAAATACAAAACATAAAAAAAAAAAAGAAAAAAAAATGTACTGACCCTAAACTTGAATGGTAGTGTATATTGTTACAAAAGGTTTCTATTTTGAGTAAATGCTGTTATTTTTAAAACTTTTTATAAAATATTAATTTCAATACTTTATAAACCTAAATGAAGATGCAAGACAAATTTGTTTACTTTTAATAAAAACATTTTTTTAGAAATTTTTAAAATTTCAGTTTTCAATATTTTTTAAAATAAACAAATTGTTTTAAAAATGAAAGAAAATAAAATCTTAGTCTCTTCACCGGTGTTATATCCCATTGAAGGTAAAGTATAAACACAGCAACCAATGGATGAAGTGTTTGAGAAACCTGTTTGAAAACAGTCATTTTGAAATTCAACTAAAGGCAAGAAATCACACACTCCACCTTTAAGATTAATTTACGCCGTTCTAAAATTCTGAACAGACTGTCTTGATCAAAATCGTACTGTTTTCCCCAAAGAATCTCTGAAATCCAGCTGAGATACAGAGCTGTTCTACTAAACCACTGAACTGTGCTTTTTCAAACCAACTCTATTGAAACCTCCTTCACCCAGCTTTCAAGGATGAAATTAAAGCAAGACTGAACTTTAATTAATTAAGCCTATTTTATATGTCTTTAGTCTCCTAACCTCCCCAGGACTGAGCATCTGCATTCCTTCTCCTGCTTTCAGTCTCTTTCCACCCCCATTGGGCATTTCCATCAGGTACAAGCAGAACACAATTACCGCTTACCTCCGAGACCCCTCCACACGGGAAGGGCCCATTAACGGCAAAAGACTCATTACGGTCTGCAAAACGATAACAATGGAGGAAAGCGTGGCTCTTAAGCATCTATCTGTCAAGAGCACCATTTAACTGTCACACATACATGCCCAGCGGCGGCCATTAGAGCTGCCTGTTAATCAGCTCTATTTACCTCGCGTTCTGCTCTTGTACATTTAGGAGAGGGAGGAAAACTCGGCAGGTGTCTGATTCCGTGTTATGATCTTTTTGTTTGTTTGCGCCGACTCCCAGCGTCACGAGAGGAGCCATTACAAGACATTCTGCTGCAGATCATGTGCTGTCATGTCTGAACCATTGCTCAACGACTCAGTTCAGCTGGAAACCAGCATCGCACTGGAGCACCAATTACACCAATTAACTCCAATTAGACTGGTTCAAAACAAGCAAACTAACAGGTGATCCAGACAGGACTAATCACAGTTTAAGAGGAAACAGTTGCAAAACAAAGCGAATGCTGAGTACTGAAAACTCACTCGAAAAGGCAACAACCAGGGGAAAAAAAAAACACCATGTTGAAGAAATAGTTGCCCAAAAATGAAAAGTCTTTCATAATTTACTCACTTTCATGTCGTTCCAAACCTGTATGACTTACTTTCTTCTGTAGAACACAAACGACTGGTTGTTTTTCCTCAAAGAAACTGCATTGAATGGACACTAAAACAACACAAAAAGATCCTAAAAGTGATCCACATGGCTTATGAACCACATTTCTTGAAGCCATATGACAGCGCTATGTGAGGAAATTTACATTTATTTACTGGTAATCGTCCCAAATCAGTCTGGCCAAATCATTCTGACCATTTTTTGTGAATTGCGGAAATGATTTGAATCAACAAACTGATTCGTTCACAAAACAAACTTTGCTACATCTGGGGCCAGTAATCATATTTTTTGTAAATAATGACTGGAATTGTGGGCTGAATTCTTAATACAAAGATACTGAATGGCTACTAAATGAACTACATCTATGATATGTTTATGGTGTTCCGAGTAGTTTTTAAAGACAGAAAGCTTCAGGAAAACAGCATGAAAATAGTCCACAGAAGAAAGAA